AGATGGGGTACCTGGTTGAACGCAGCCGTCTATTACGCCGACCACTTCGATTCATTTTCGAAGGTTTTGTGAGCTCTGGACGTCAAAGACGCTGCGAGCATCGGAGCGGCTGCTCAATTGGTGAGGAAGCCCTCTGTAAGGAATCATCGCTCTTATAAAAGCAAACTTCGGAGAGCTCCCGCATACCATCGAGAAAGTCGAACCGAAGGGACTGTCTTTGGTAGGAAGCGTGGGTATCTTCGAGGCACTTGTTAAAGATCTCAAGAAAACACCCGGTGATCTTGGGGACTTGGTCCCTAGGAAATGCGATGCGGTTGTGATTCGTAATGGCGGCTTCAGTATTCTCAAGGATGTCTCGGACATACTTCAGGGGGGCAGCTCCGCGGATAGTCTCATTGGTCGCGACCCCTCGGAGATAGCCTGCTTCAAGTACGCACCGATCACGTCGGTGGATGTTGAAAGGAGCTCCTCTATTTTGAAGCACCTTCTCAGCGCCCGTCGTCAGAGTTTTACGTTTGAAAATTTGAAGATGCATCTCATTGTCTACTGTAACCCGTAACCTAAATTGTGCCTGTATTAAGCAGGATTGAGTCAATTCCAGAAAGTATCATAAAACGTGAACGAAGCTCCTATTTTTTTGTGCATATTTCTCTTTTTCAATGCATATATCGGCCCCTTTTCAGGGCATACCTGCATGCATATTTCCGGTTTTTATAGTGCATGAAGTCACGGGCTCTAGTCATGAGTAACGGTAGTGCGTGTCTTCGAGATCAAGTCTGACCTTCTGGGTACCGTTGTCAAACTTTCCCCGTGATGATGAAGAATGCAAAAACGATGCGATAGCTCAGAAAGCACGGGGCCGGAAACCTCGAACGATGCCCCGGCAAGGATTGTCGTTTTCTAGTCGTCATGTATTGTTGGTCAGGTACCTAGGTATCTTGATGAGACATCCAGATCTGAAAAGAAAAAGCATCATCGACGAAAACGGGGCAAAGAGCAACGACACATCTTGTTTTTCCGACGAAGCCCTCCCATGTCGCGGTCCCAGACGCCGGGTGTCGGCGAACCCTCAGGGGCAACGCTCGGACGGCTCATTCTTCAATTAAGGTGTTTTCAATATATACGGTCATACATCCGGGGAGCTTCGCAGTGTTTATAAAAATGCTTCTCGCCGGCACACCGACTCGAGGCAGCTTCTCCGATAAACAGATATATCTCATTGCGCATCCCTCACTAACGAAGTTTCGCAAGAAGAAGAAGAAGACTGCCCCCTAGGATATCCTGTATCGGAAGCGAGAAAATAGCTCGGTCTTCAATCTGAGACGAGGAATTCGGTCGCTCGGCCTCCTTTCCGGACCGTCGGACCTCCGAAGAGTCAGAGGTTCGATGCGGCGCTTTCCCGGCTAAATCTACCGGTCTCTTCCCTTAATCTTATGCCATGAAGATTCAACAGTCCTCAATTACGCTCGTTAAGTCCCTAGTCTGCGCAAAGCCGAAGGGCAGGCTGCTGCGTCGGGCC